ATATATATATATATATATATATATATATATATATATATATATATATATATATATATATATATATATATATATATATATATATATATATATATATATATATATATATATATATATATATATATATATATATATATATATATATATATATATATATATATATATATATATATATATATATATATATATATATATATATATATATATATATATATATATATATATATATATATATATATATATATATATATATATATATATATATATATATATATATATATATATATATATATATATATATATATATATATATATATATATATATATATATATATATATATATATATATATATATATATATATATATATATATATATATATATATATATATATATATATATATATATATATATATATATATATATATATATATATATATATATATATATATTACCAAGTAATTACCAAGAGAGCATTTTGATGCTACCAGATGACCACAATCAGCAAACAACACACAAAACTGGTTATTATAAACTGAGATTATTGAATTTTTCATATATATCTCACTCATTTTACCTTGTTCTGATCAGTCCAGTACAGGAAATATCCCTGCGGATCCACACGTAACGTCACTGGAGTCACTGTTGAAGAATCCTGAGCAAAACAACAAATAAAACACATGTTTTAATGCACAAACAGAGAATAAACTGAAAAAGCCCCCCGAGATGAGGGCAGTGGTTTTTATATTTATGTAGAAAGTAATCATTTTGTAATATTTTATTCCTTTAATTCTTTTTCATTTGTGAAGATATTTCTGTATTGCTATGTGTGAGCAAGGCACACAATTAACGCAATTGTGCTGGACTTTAGACCTGCTTTCAGCTTTAGTTCCTCAAAATAGCAACACGCCAACGATGCACCTTAACACACCTCCTTTCTAACCTGGAACACCCATGAGTCTACTAAGTGGCACAAATGGATTTGCTATTCAACCAACATAGCAAAACCGGAAAATTAATATTTCAGTGGTCTGAAAATAGCAAGACATTGTGTGCCTTATTGTGCCGGATATATAATTAAGTTTAAGTTTTTAATTGTCACATACAGTTGAGGTCAGACTTATTAGCCCTCCTGAATTATTAGACCTTTTGTATATTTATTCCGCAATTTCTGTTTAACAGAGAGAATATTTTTTTCAACACATTTTATAAACATAATATTTTTAATAATTCATTTCTAATAACTCATTTATTTTATATTTGAATGTAAATTTTATATAAAAAATGCTTCTTAACTTTACAATTTTTTTCATGTTTAAACTAATAACAAGACAAAAACTTTAAGTACACTGCAAAAAAAAAATGTTGGGTTCCACACAATTCCTTAATATCATCCCAACGCAAATGGATTAAGTTAGCTTAATGATTTAAAAAAAACATATTAAATGCATTGAAATGCACACTAAATACACTAAAACATGTTAAAAGCATTAAAATGCACACTAAATACACTAAAACATATTAAAAGCATTAAAATGCACACTAAATGCACTAAAACATATTAAGTGCAGTAGAAACATTAAATGTATGTACTATAAAATACACTAAATACCCTACAAAATGCACAGAACAATACTGAATGCACTGAAATCTAACTAAATGCAATAAAAACAAACTAAATGTTTTTAAAAAGACATTGCATGCACAAAACAAAATTGAATGCACTAAAAATCAAACCAATTGCACTAAAACAAACTAAATGCATTAAAAGACATTAAATGCAATAAAACTGCACACTAAATGCACTAAATCACACTAAATGTACTAAAACACATTGAATGCAATAAAAACATTAGATAAATGTACTATAAAACCCACTAAATGCACAAAACAATATTGAATGCACTAAAAACAAACAAAATGCATTAAAAGAGACATTAAATGCAATGAAACCATGCACTAAAAATGCTAATTAAATGCCCTAGAAACATGTTAATAGATCTAAAAATCTTAAATGTACTAAAAACACACTAAATCCGCAACCAACAAACAAATGAATCAAAAAAGACATTAAATGCACTAAAAACTCACACTAAATGCGCTACAAAAAACATTAAATGCATTAAAATGCACAGTAAATGTACTAAAAACATAGTAAATTCAGTAAAAACATTAAATGTATGTACTATAAAACACACCAAATACCCTACAAAAATACACAGAACAATACTGACTGCACTAAAATCTAACTAAATGCACTAAAAACAAACTAAATGTGGTAAAAAAATTAAATGGAATAAGACTGCAAACTTAATGCACTAAAACATTAGATAAATGTACTATAAAACACACTAAATGCACTAAAACAAACATTGAATGCACAAAACTAAATTGAATGCACTAAAAAACAAACTAAATGTATTAAAATAGACATTAAATGCAATAATAACACACTAAATGCACTAAACCCATATTAAATGCACTACAAATGCTTATTAAATGCCCTAGAAACATGTTGATAGCTCTAAAAAATCTTATATTCACTAAACAACAAACTAAATGCATCAAAAAAGACATTAAATGCAACGAAAACACACTAAATGCACTTAAATATATTAAAGGCACTAAAATACTATAATTAAAAGCCCAAGAAACACGTTAATAGCTCTAAAAAAAATATTAAACTCAATAAATAAATAAACAACAAACTAAATGCATTAAAAAAGATATTAAATGCACTAAAAATGCAGACTAAATGCACTAAAATGATAATTAAAAGCTCAAGAAACATATTAATGACTCTAAAAAAACCTTAAATGTACTAAAAACACACTAAATGCACTGACAAAACAAATTAAATGCTCTAAAATAGACATCGCATGCACAAAACAATATTGAAGGCACTAAAAAACTAATTAAATACACCAAAAACAAACTAAATGCATTAAAAAAGATATTAAATGCAATAAAATTTAATGTACTAAAACCATATTAAATGCGCTACAAATGCTTATTAAATGCCCTAGAAACATGTTAAAAGCTCTAAAAAATCTTAAATGTACTAAAATACACACTAAATGTACAAACAACAAACTAAATGCATTAAAAAAGATAGTAAATGCACTAAAAGCACATTAAATGCACTAAAAATGCTAATTAAATGCCCTAGAAACATGTAATTAGCTCTAAAAAATATTAAACTCACTAAAAATACACACTAAATGCACAAACAACAAACTAAATGCATTAAAAAATACATTAAATGCAACAAAAACACACTAAATGCACTAAAACTATATTAAATGCACTAAAAATGCACACCAAATGCACTAAAAGCACATTAAATGCACAAAATGCCCTAGAAACATGTCAATAGCTCTAAAAAATCTTAAACCCACTAAAAATACACACTAAATGCACAAACAACAAACTAAATGCATTAAAAAGATGTTAAATGCACTAATAATGCACACTAGATGCACTAAAAGCACATTAAAATGCACTAAAATGCTAATTAAAAGCCAAAGAATTAATTAATTACTCTGAAAAAAACCTTGAATGTAATAAAAACACACTAAACGCACTGACAAAACAAACTAAATCCATTAAAAAAGACATTAAATGCAATAAAACTGCAAACTTAATGTACTAAAACACATTGAATACATTAAATAAATGTACTATAAAACACACTAAATGCAATAAAACAAACATTGAATTCACAAAACTATATTGAATGCACTGAAAACAAACTAAATGCAATAAAAAGATATTAAATGCAATGAAAACACACTAAATGCACTAAAACCATATTAAATGCGCTACAAATGCTAATTAAATGCCCTAGAAACATGTTAATAGCTCTAAAAAATATTAAACTCACTAAAAATACACACTAAATGCACAAACAACAAACTAAATGCATTAAAAAAATACATTAAATGCAACGAAAACACACTAAATGCACTAAAACCATATTAAATGCACTAAAAATCCACACCAAATGCACTAAAAGCACATTAAAAGCACAAAAATGCTAATTAAATGCCCTAGAAACATGTTAATAGCTCTTAAAAATCTTAAACCCACTAAAAGTACACAATAAATGAACAAAGAACAACCTAAATGCATTAAAAAAAGATATTAAATGCACTAATAATGCACACTAGATGCACTAAAAGCACATTAAATGCACTAAAATGATCATTAAAAGCCCAAGAAACCAATTTATGACTCTGAAAAAAACCTTAAAACAAACTAAATGCACTGACAAAACAAACTAAATGCACAAAAAAGTTGAACAGAGCAAGGAATTTTGCACAGTATTTCATATAATGTTTTTTTTTCTCCTGGAGAAAGTCTTATTTGTTTTATTTGGGCTAGAATAAAAGCAGCTTTTATTTGTGTAAACTATTTTAAGGTCAATATTTTATGCCCCCTTAAGCAATATTTGTTTTCACTTGTCTACAGAACAAACTATTAGAAATGTGTAGAAAAACTGAATCAGAAAAGTGGGGAAAAAATATACAAGTAGCTAATAAAACAGGAGGACTAATAATTCTGACTTCAACTATACAGTATAGCCTGATTCATCCACGGTCCAGTGCTGATCAGACAGAGTAAGATTAATCAGGCTGATTATGATGAGGACAGTAAAGTCAGCTGCAGTTATTTTAAGTGCGCTGAATAAAAAGCACAGCAGAAATGAAGCGCTGGCGTTTCTGTGGGAGGTAAAGAATAATCTCTCCTCACACAAGAAAAAAGCATACGGTCTCGGGACGCTTTGACTCAGACATTGCATAAGTGCTCTATATGAGTGATTGCACTGATCGTTTCCCTCCGGTACAAGCCACAAAATAACATGCAGCGGTGCAGATGGACAGCGGCCATTGATTGTGTTATTCTAGCTCTTGCGTGGGTCTAAAAATGCTCCTGTAAGTCGCCGGCACTGCGTGTCTTCACTAATGTACTGTACGGTAGCCGGCGACCAAGACGGGAATCTACAGCATGAACGTCGCCATAGCAACAGGCCAACATTTCCAGGTTTACTGGCAGAGAAAAGCTTTTAAACGTCAAACATTTTCAGCATAAGCTCATGTAAAGCTGTGTGGCGTTAAGCAGACAGACTCAAGAAATGAACAAATGAACAAAACATTAAATGCACAAGGAAAACTCAACATGTACTTTAAAAACACACTAAATGCACTATAAACATTAAATTCACCAAACAATATTAAATGCACTAAAAACAAACATTTGATAAAAAGAAAAAAAATGCACTAAAAAATGAAGTAGATGCACTAATAAAACATTAAATGCACTAATAATGCACATTAAATGCACTAAAAACAAACTAAATGCACAAAAAAAATACATAAAATGCACTAAAATGCACACTAAAAGCACTAAAACATATTAAATGCATTGAAAACATTAATTGCTGGCACTATAAAACACATTAAATGCACAAAGCAATTATTAAATGCGCTAAAAAAATATAAATGCTATATAAAATAAAATAAATAAAAAAATCCATTAAATGTAATAAAAATGCACATTAAATGCACTAAAAAGACATTGATTGTACTAAAAATGCACAAAAAACACACTCTAAAGTAACTCAAAACACTTTAAACGCACTTAAAACATTGTTGA